CCCCGACCGGCGTTATTATGTTCCCGACCGGCGTTATTATGTTCCCGACCGGCGTGCATTACATTCTTTCCCCGACCGGCGTTATTATGTTCCCGACCGGCGTTATTATGTTTGTTCCCCGACCGGCGTTATTATGTTCCCCGACCGGCGTTATCCCAGAGCGGAGTGCGGACAGATGGTCTCAATGAACCCACAAACCCATTCTGTTTTGCAAAGATATGACAATGATATAGCAGTACCCACGCGATATAATATCTATGTTGATTTCAAAACTGTTGCCTCGGTTTGAGGCATGTAAAACAAAACACAACAAACAGTACAAACACGATGATTGCGTTTCATGGTTGTTTATTGAAAATACACCAGTTTCACAAATCACGTTGTTATGCGGCACAAAGTCACATTACACAAAATAAGTCAACGGGACCCACGATTGGATTCGTACACCTGTGTAACTATCCCCAGCTGTCCGTGTTTTACAACATTGTCTCCCACCAGTTTCATGTATGCCTCGGAGAGAGCATCTAATATCTTCGTATGCGATTGTAGCTCGTACAACAACGTGTCGGCCACGATTCCCACCGTAGCATCCGAAGCGTCAATGTCGCGGTCAAACAGGAACCGTTGAATGGAAGGTATGAAGCGAGCTGTGATGAGTTTGTTTCTGATGCTATAATAATGGTCTGCGTAAAAGTGATCATCCAAGAGTTTGAGGCAGTCGTGTTGTTTCTGGCTTGGATGATTGGTCTTACAGCCGTTGCAGTCAGTGATGTAACGGTTTAGGATACGATATAGTAGGTGATACACCGCGATCTTCACAGCCTTGATGAGCGAAGGAGAGACCCATTCCTGCTCCTCGTCGTCGGTTGACGCTCCGTTCTCGGTGGAACGGTCATCCTCGTTGCTTGTTGTGCTGTCAAGGTTTGCGAGGGTTTCTACGTTTGATGCAGAGCAAGGCCGGACCGAAACACCGTCTCGCCGTACAGTTGGGGGGTCCATGTGTTTCTCTGCGGATATCGCCGGTGGTGGTTACACTGATATAGTTCAGATAGAACAGTGAAAACTACGCTCAGAGAACACAAGGTATGTATCAGGTTTGGATTTTGTAACACTTGAAACAAGGACACACTGAACCCGATGTATGTGGCCGTGTCTGCAGCAACAAGTACCGTTTGTGAGTCCTGCGCAGTGTAATAGTTTAATCCGTATGACCGCACCGAGCGGCGTACCCTCCAAACATATATGCATCTAGGCAAGCTTCAGCGGTGTGTGTGTGTGTGTGTGTGTGTGTGTGTGTGTGTGTGTGTGTGTGTGTGTGTGTGTGTGTGTGTGTGTGTGTGTGATTGGTACTGCGGTCGGGAACATTGGTACTCCGGTCGGGGACATGCGTGGCGGAGACCGAATACGGAACCAGCAGATCGACAGTTTACCGCATAGAGGTTCCCCTGGCCCGTGTGACAGCGGTGATGTACGCTGCGTTGTGCTTGGCAGTCGGGACAGTAGTAGTGTGCACAGTGTTTATGTGGTGTCGTCTTCGCAAGCAGACTGCTGGTGCAATATAATTCAATTGGACTTGGTCTGTCCGTATGCGATTGTAATGACATGATGACGTTGTATGTCTGTTTGTTCATATGGTAACAATAGTATTTCTGTGTGAATAAACCATTTTTTTTTACGTGATCTGTTGTCATGGTGTGTTTTTGTCATGGATTCCGTAATGGAAATCAGCGGCTGATAAGAGAGCTAATCTCAGGTACTAAGCCTGCTATACCAAGGGTTGTTCTCCGTGACACCGCGGATCGTGAGGAGTCGGTCAGGTTCGACCGTGAAGTACTACTATCACATGAAGAGGGTTGCAAAACACGTAAACAAAAAGACGTTATGTCGCACACCAGACTTTGGCAGCAACGTAGTACTACCACAAATGAGATCCGGGACTTGCTAGAAACTGAACAGGCCCAAGCATCGGTAGCTACCACAGTACCATCGCCGTCAAATGCGAATCATCCTGTTGTGGTATTGAGACCGGCAAGGTTTCAATATCGTGGACTATTCACCGAGGAACGAAAAGACAGCAAGCGTAACCCGGAGCACCGCGCGTTATCGCAAGGGGAAGATGAAGAGTTGTCCGGTAGGCACGAAGAAGGCTCACAGAGTGAAGACTTCGCATATTTCCTGTCGCACGGCCGGCAGGCTCGCAGTCCGAAAGAATGGACGGATGAAAGTCAATGCGGACAAACGCAGCGGGCGCAGAGTAAGGATTGTGTCTTTGGGTCGGATGGCAAGCATGATTATCACGATGGCTCTGTGTGTCATCGGGTTGATTGTGAGCTGGACGGTGATAGCGATCGCGGTGCGTTAGTGCACGGACCCCGGGAATTGGAACAGCACGCGGACAAGCACGATTGTCACCATGATGACAGTGAAGAAGAAGAAGAAGAAGAAGAAGAAGAAGAAAGAGGAGAAGAAGAAGAAGAAGAAGAAGAAGAAGAAGAAGAAGAAGAAGAAGAAGAAGAAGAAGAAGAAGAAGGAGGAGGAGGAGAAGAAGAAGAAGAAGAAGAAGTCCTTGAGGAAGGAGGCCCCAGCGAAGAAGGCGCTACCGCGGCCGCGCGAGACGAGGTGTCGACATTCATGGCCTTCTTCCCTCCTGAGATAGAGGACATGGTAATCGCCATGACCAACCTCGAGGCGTCCAGACGCAGACCCTCCATACACGGATGGAACCCCATGGGGCGCGTCGAGTTCAGAGCTTACGTAGGGCTGCTGATACTTGCAGGCGTGTACAAGTCGCGAGGTGAGGCGTGTGAGAGCTTGTGGGACTCAGAGAGCGGCAGGCCCGTGTTCAGAGCAGTTATGACGCTCAAGACTTTCCGGGCCTACTCAAGTGCCCTGCGGTTCGATGACCGAGAGACAAGAGAGGCCAGGCGCCTCGATGATCGCGGGAGATACGATAAGGTGGCCCCGATCAGATCGGTGTGGGACGGGTGGTGCGCGCGCTTGCCTGTCATGTATCGTCCTGGACCCGAGGTCACCGTGGACGAGAGACTTGTTCCATATAGAGGTTGGTGACGTGTATAATTTACCGTGGAATTAGGTTTTTTCTTTCGGTCGGTTGGGTTTCTATGTTCTTGCATTGTGTTGACGCGAAAAATACGTTCCGAACACGCTGTCTTTGTTGTGTCATTGTCACCCCGCAGGAAGATGTCCGTTCAGGCAGTACATGCCCAGCAAACCGGCTAGGTATGGGATCAAGATATGGGTGTTATGCGACGCTCGGTCCAGTTATGCGTTGAAAATGCAGCTGTACGCGGGCAAGCCCGACAAGCTCGGTCCCCCTGAAAAGAAGTTGGCCACACGAGTGGTGATGGACCTGACCGAGGGACTCGCGCCTGGACACAACATCACCTGCGACAACTTCTTTACCTCCCGCGAGCTTGCCACAAAGCTCTTCCGAGAAAGAGGTCACACGTTGTTGGGCACTCTTCGAATGAACAGACCCGAGATCCCCAGAGAGTTGCGATGCTCTAAGGGTAGGCCCGTGGGGTCCGCAGAAATCGCCGTGCTTGACGGTGACCCGGACGAAGGGATTCCGTACGCGGTCGTCATGTCCTACGTGCCGAAGAGAAACAAGAACGTGTTGCTCCTCACCACCTGTTCCCGCTACCTAACGTGCTCCCAGTCTCTGCCTCCGCCACGACTGAGCGAAAGCAAACCGCCAATGGTGATACATTACAACCGCACCAAGGGTGGCGTGGACAACCTAGATAAGGTAGCGGGTACGTACAGCTGCAGGAGGAAGACATCTAGGTGGCCGGTGGCCCTTTTCCATAACATGGTGGACGTGGCGGCGTACAATGCGTCCGTGCTCTGGAGGGCCACCCATCTGGACTGGATGTCAGGCAAGCTCAACAAACGAAGGCTGTTCCTCGAGCGGCTGGGCAGAGCGCTGGTTCTACTTATGATCGAGGGCACGCGCCAGCCACCAGGAACGGTCCTTCCCGGTCCTCGGGCTAACCGTGACGAGCCCAGGGATTCCCCTGTCAAGAGGCAGAGGTGTCGCGTTTGTCCCAGGAGCAAGGACGTTAAGACCAAGGCTGTTTGCTGCATCTGTCATGCGCATGTGTGCTCGAGGTGCGCGCTCACCTACTGTCCAACCTGCGCTACGGGGCCCATGCCAGCCGCCAGATGGGAGAGTGTAACATGAGACCCCCGCCCTCCCCCTCCATGTCAACGTTATTTCGGCCGCGTGTCCCGCCCCACCAAGTCTGCATATAAGGAGTTGCGCAGAGGTCTATCTATCTATCTATCTATCTATCTATCTATCTATCTGGTACTGCAGTGGCCAACCATTCCGCGAAGACCATGTGGACCTTCATCAGTGTTTTAGCCTCGCTGTGCCTCGGCTCTTTAGCTTGCGTCGGGTGGTCTGAAGCTGACATGCCCGCAGACCTCCGCTGTAACACCGATTACAACAACAAGATCAGGTGCGAGTTCAATAGAGAGGACCACGGTCGTTGTGCGTTTAACTTCACATACACATCCAGCCGGTTGTCACGCACCTTGGTGGGACTGATGGACAGCTCTTCTACACGTGCTGTTTTCTATCCCGACGACGGCGCAACGTACGTGTTTCAGAGTTTTCAAAAGTACAACGTCGAGGTTGACTGCGAGGGAGTGAAACACAGCGGCGTGTTCAAGCCTGCCTGTGCAATTGTGACGGATGCCCCCACCGTCAGTTGTGACATTGGAAATTGTGTTTTCGTAGCACAACCTCACGAGCGTTTGATCGACGGAAGACATGTCACTTACAAATACCGCATCAGATCCGTCCTCGGGGACTGGGGCGATCTGAGGTCCATCAACGGGCCCGCAACTGGACTTACCGTGGACATCAACGCCGAATGCGATCGTCTCTTGAGCGCACTAACCGTAGACATCACTGACATTCGTATGGAAATCGAGGTCTCCGTGTGGTACACATCCGAAACCGGACACTCTCTGTTGAACACTGGAGCTATCTACAAGAAGTATACCTGGAGCCCTTAAAGTCCATGTAACCAATGTATAAGCAATGTAACAATGTATACTCAATGTGTGTAATCAAAGCAACAATAAAAAACATTGCGATCGCAGACGACAAAGTGTGTGTGTCTTTGTGTTACGATGCAAACTAGTAGTACGCGTATTGCTACATAAGTGTTGTCTGCCAATCCGAAATGTGAAACGGAAAGGCACATGTTTTCCGATCGCCCGACAAGCACAATACACAAGAAACATTAGTAGCGATTGCCAGTGCAACGCTTTCCTTTTTATTTCTCTAAAAAAAAAGTAAACGATTCAATCCAACACAACACAACAATCTATACCAGAGTAAACGGGTTTGGTTCCTAGACAAAAAACTAGCAGACCAGTGGTTTGGTTCCTCGCGATAAACAAAAATGCTTTCTGGGTACTATGTCTGGATGAGCGCAGTCACATGGATCCCATCCCCGCTTGCTGCTTCGGTCAGGTAGCCTTCACCGGTTTTCGGTGCATCCTCGAGCACTCCGGCCTTCGCAACGGTAAACATCATCATATTACCCCGTCAGCCGTCAGCATGGCGTTTCCCGGCTGGCCGGTGTTTTCGGTGGCGAGACAGAGAGCGGGTTTTGCGGCACGGTAGGCGAGCACGAGCCGTGGGAGGTCGCCATTAACCCTTGTGCGCCCCACCAGGCGCTTTAGTTTAGGGCAAGACGCAACAGCAGCGGCTGCAAGGGCGGGCGGGTGGCCACACCCCCCGAAGAAAAAAGCACAGCAGGCCGAGCCAAAAATCGGGCTGGGGCCTTGTTCGGCGGGGGCCCGACGGACCCCAGTGTAAAAAGAAAAGGGTGGGGAAAAAAACCGACGATGAACCAGGCTGGCGAGGACCCCGCTCCCGGGCGAGCGGGGTCCCGAGAGACCCCAGCGGGAAGGGAAACGTAGGAAAGGGAGTCCGAGAAGAAGCAAGCTGCTTTTTGGTTGTTTGTTTTTATTTTTTGGGGTTTTTTTTTATTTGTTTCGCTAGCACCGGGAAGGGAAACGTAGGAAAGGGAGTCCGAGAAGAAGCAAGCTGCTTTTTGGTTGTTTGTTTTTATTTTTTGGGGTTTTTTTTT